TGATTTCAGTGATTAATCTTCAGTTCCAATGTGTCTCTTTATAGAGATGTTCAGAAGATTGCGACAGACAGTAAAGACTTTCAGTGCTTCAACTGTCTATACTTTTCTATAGCTCTTTCTATTTAGCTCTTTCTATCTCTCCTTGAGGTGTTGGTTGGATGGTAGAAGTGTCCACATATGCTTTCTTTTCTCTTTTCCACTCTCGTAGAAAGAAAACCCTAATGCTGGTTTGTGGCGATGAACCAAAAAATATGATTTCACTGGAAATGAAATCTAAAAAAAAAAAAAGAAACTGGCATGCGATCCAAATGAGCAGAGAAAATATTAGCTATTAAGACTCAGTGGAAAAGACCTATGTTGATTAAATAAAATAATGATATGAAAGTGACTATATTGTCAAGGGATCTGCAGGCTCAATGGAATCCAAACCAAAATTTAAATTATGTTTCTCCCAGAAGTTTCACTTTTAAAACACATGGAACCACGAAGATGTCAGAGAATAAAGGCAGTGCTGTATTGGTAGTGTCACCATACCTGATTTCAGATTACAGCTACATGTCTAAGAGAGTGTTACTGTGGGATTACCTCCCCTTACCACAGGCGCCTCCTACAGCAGATGGCAGTGAACACAGAGACCCACAAGTGGTCACGGGGCAGGAAATCAGGGGCTGACTTCCTGGCCCCGAGCATCATTGCAGAAGAGGGAGCAGAAGGATTGCAGGATCCAGAGGCCGTGCATGACTACAGCAAAGCAGTGTTCTTGGACCAGCACGGTAGCTGCACAGAATGAACAAGACCAAGCCAGACAACATCCCAGCTTGGGAAACACAGGGAATTCCACTTCTAGTTGAGGAACTATGGCAACTGGTGGCTGCCGAGAGAGAGAGAGATTTAGTTGTCCTCAGGGTTGGGGCACCAGAGAGAGGCTACAAACCAAGCTCCAGGAGATGGTCCTGTGTGCATGCACAGCTAGAAGGACTAAGAAGGAGAATTAGGAAAAGGGAGAGGAAGAGGAGAAGGTAGACTAGGAGACAAACTCATGAAATTGAGAGAGGATATTGGTATTTTAAGATATAATTTTTGTGATGAAGAATATAAAATTAAAAACATTGAAGTTACAAAAAAGAGAATGAACAATCTAAAGTGTTTTATACAGCAAATTCAAATTGAATACAGAGCAATTTAATTGCATATGATGATTCCCTACAGTAAAGACAATATGAACCTGACAGATTTAGCTTAAATAACTAATATTGTGTGAGTAGCAAAATAAATAAAAACCTCTATATGTAGACATGCCCAAATTGATGAAGAAATAAATGCCTTTACATACAGTCATTAAAACTTTTTGAAAACATGTAAAGAATAAAAAAGGGAAAGCAGATTCATTTCACAATAATTTGTAGAACAAAGAAAATAAGGTGCTTACTAAAGTATTGGCTAACTAAAAAAAAACTGTATGAAATTATAATAGTAAGTTAAATCAAATAAATAAATAAATAAATAAATAGATAGATAGATAAATGAATGAATGAATGAATGAATGAATAAATAAATAAATAAATAAATAAATAAATAAATAAATAAATAAATTTGAATGGACGAGAAACAAATGTCTTAGAACTAGGCACACTTAGAACCTACTCATTACTGCTGAAGCACCTAGGCAGGTGGAGTGAGTTCCTGCCAAAATGTCTGAGATTTTTTGAGATGGCAGAATCTGCCCAGTGAGGTTCAGGTTCCTAGTCCAGGAGAGACTTCTTCACTTTGACTCAGGACTTTCTTGCCAGCAACTTGGCTGAGGAAGACAGGGCTCTCCAGACTTCCGCTCTCACCACCTCCCAGACACAGGGGCTGTGTTTCTTCTCTCTCAGGTAGACAGTGATCCTGTGGAAGTATTTCCTCACAGCCACCAGGGAGACTTCCTGGGTGAGGGGAGGTTCCTGCACCCCCACCTACTGCATCAGACAGGCCTGCAGGTCACTGAGCTGCTGGTGGAGGCCAGTGCAGAATGTGTCTAGGAGGGTTGTCTCCCAAGCAGCAGATGAGTCCTTTGAGCTGAAGAGGATGAGGACCTGCTGGGTCAGCTCCTGCAGGACAGGGGTGGCTTGAGTCTTCTGGATCTGCTGGGCATCCACCTTCTCCAGAGGGAATGCAGTCCTTTCTGTCCTTCAGGCAGGAGAGAGGGGAGAGTCTCCTCATTTGTGCCAGGAGTGTCAAGGCTCCCTTGTTCCTGAGGTTATGAGTCTGAGGCAGATCATATCCCAGAGAGCAGATTGACCATCAGCTCATCAGCACCAGGGCCATCAGAAAAGCACAGGTTCTGGCCATTGTGGATGCTGCAGGTGCGGTTCTCTGAGGATCATCCTTTGTGCATCTGTCTTAAGCAGGACAAACAATAGTTTTCACTTTCTGAATGCCCTCCCCTTCTCCACAATTCTCTTTTCACTTTTCTTCATTCATTCTCAGCTGTATCTGGGCATTTTTCTCAACCATTTTTATTTTCATTACTGTTTCCTGTTTCATTGCTCTCCTAAACAAATCTGTATCAGAGGTTTTCTTGCCCTGAGTAAAATTGTCATTAACTGTTAACCACACATATGCATTCAACTTTTGATATTTACACACATAATTCAATGATAAATTTCTTCTAAAACTTGTAATAAAAAGATATTGAAATTCAGTTTGTAATTAAATTTTCTGTTGTTATTTATATCAAATACATACTTTAAAATTATAATTTAAGATATGATGCAAATTTGCTGTTTCTAAATTTAGCATATTAATTTAATGGAACACTAAGTTTTTCCAATGTTTAAAAGGAAAAAAAATACTTTTTCAAGTTGCCCTTATTAACTTTAATACTGATTTATATGTATGTTTGATTTAATAATCACTGTATATTGGCTATTTATTCAGTGATTGCAATGCCATCATGAGGTTTCAATATGTGAAGGCTTTCTGTCCAAGTTTGATGAACTGAGTTTGATTCCTGGAACCCATGGTTGAAGCAGAGATCTGAGTCCTGTAGTTTGTCCTCTGACCACCACATTCATGGTGCCGCAATCTTGAGGCTGCTCACACACACACTCACACACACTCAAACACACACATACATACACACAAACATGCACACTCCACACCTAACACACACACACACACACACACTCCAGCATATCTTCATATAGACACACACTGCATCACACACAAAAATGCACATTCACATTCACATAAGCACACAGACATACATGCACACACTCCCCCCACATAAGTATACACCCCCCCACAAAAATGCACTCACATGCACATTTACACATTCTCACATGTACATGTTCCCCACACTCAAACACACATACATTTCCACACATATGCACACACATGTGCACACACTCACACGCTGGTGAACAAACATCTACACTTACGTACATGCTCTCTCTCTCTCTCTCTCTCTCTCTCTCTCTCTCTCTCACATACACACACACACACACACACACACACACACACAGTCATACACAAGAGTAATAAGAAGTAAACTCCTCAAAACGAAGAATCCTGTAAGGAATTTTTCTTGAGTCGAAGTGGGAAGTGCCACTTCTAAGCAAGATTTTGGAAGGGAAGGCACACCTTTTATCTGGATCTTTGAGGTGGGACCACTCACCTTTAACCCAGATCCTTTGAGATAGGAAGACCCACCTCTATGCTGAGGCACACCTTCTGCTGGAATCCCATAGAGGACGTGAACAAAGAAAGCTTTTGAACTTTGCTGGCTTGCTCTCATCTCGATTGCAAGCCCATTCCTTCCCTGGCATTAGAGTCCACTTCTTCTGGACCCCGGAATGTTAGGAAGACCACGTAAGAGGTCCAGCCTCATGGGGTGAATAAATCCGTAAAGGTAAGGATCTGAAGTGTGACAAATGAAAGTTTTTGTTTTGAGATGTTATTACTCTTAATAACTCCTCTGTTATTATCGGGTATGTGTGTGTGAATAGATGTGTGTGTATGTGTGTGACAGAGAGCATGTCTGTGAGTGTGCTCACAGGAGTGTGTGCACCACTGTGTGAGTGTGTGTGTGGGGGGGGTGAATTTATGTTTGTGTTTGAGTGTGTGGTTTTGTGTTTACATGTGTGAAGTTGTAAATGTGTAGGTGAGTGCATTTGTGTGGAGGTACATGTGTGCTTATGTGAGTGTGTTTTATGTAATGGTGTGAGGGTTTTGTGTGTGTGCATGCATTGTGTGTGTGTGTGTGTGTGTGTGTGTGTGTAGACACAAGCTCTTACCATGTGTGAATGTGCTCATTGGAGTCTGACTTTTGAGAGTTTGTTTCTCTGTTTCAACCCTGGACTCAGCGCATCAAGCTTGAACAGTAAGCCTTTGCACCTGGATACCTCATGATGGCATGGCAATCATTGGAAGAACAGAGAAGATATACTAATGACACAATGAGCATCTTATGTAAATCAATATTAGAGTTAATGAAGGCAATTTGAAGGGTACCATTACATTGATACTTTTCATTTAGAAGTAATTTGCATCACACCTTACATATGATTTAAGTATTTATTTAATTAATATAAATAAAACACAATGTAAAATCAATTTAAATAACTTTTAAATAAAATTTTAGGAGAAACTTTATCTTTAAAATAGATAAAATAGTGTAAGTTTCAAACAAGGAATGATCATCTGTGGGGTAACGGTTAATGACAATGCCATTGAGAAACAGAAAAGTGCTGAAAACAACAGCTTTCAGAGGGCAGCGGTGAAAGAGGAAACAAAGATGAAAACCAAAATGGTTTAGAAAAAAAAATGTCTAGACACAAGCAGAGGATGAGATCAAGAAAGTGAAGAGACAATTGGGAAGTAAGGGGCTGGCATTCAGAAAATGAAAACTAATTTTACCCTATTTAAGGCAGATGCAGGGATGATGGTCTTCAGAGAACCTAGAGGGGAAGGTTCAGGACCAACAGCCCACAGGACCAGCAGCATCTGCAACATCCACAATGGCCAGACCCTGTGACTTCCTGATGATCCTGGTGCTGATGAGCTACTGGTCAACCTGCTCTCTGGGCTGTGTCCTGAATACGACTGACGAGACTCTCTTCAAACTCCTGGTACCAAAGAAGCAATCCTCGCCTCGTTTCTATTTGGAGGATAGAGATGACTTCCTATGTCCCCTGCAGGAGATGGATGCCCAGCAGATCCAGAAGCCTCAAGTGATCCAGGTACTGCAGGAGCTGACCGAGCAGAGCCTGCTGCTCTTCACCTCAGATGAGTCATATGCTGCGTGGGAGATAACCCTCCTAGAAAAGTTCTGTGAAGCCCTTGACAAGCAGCTCGAGAAACTGCAGACTTGTCCAGTGCAGCAGGTGGGGGTGCAGGAACATCCCCAGAGCCAGCAACACCCTGTGAAGAAATATTTCATGAGGATCACTGAGTACCTGAGAGAGAAGAAACACAGCCCCAGTGCCTGGGAGGTGGTCAAAGTAGAAATCATGAGAGCCTGGTCTTTCTCAGACAACTTGATAAAAGAATTGAGCAAGAAGGAGGAGTAAGTCCTGAGGAGTCTACAGGGGTTGGACTCTGTACCTCACTGTTTAAGTTGTCCACCAAAACCTCTTGTTCATTTTGGCATGAATTCAATCAACCTGCCTAGATGTTTCAGCAGAACAGAGACAATTTGGGTCTACATATGAAAGCATTTGTTCCTTCATCCTCTTTGGTGTATCTGTGTATGTCTGTATTTACTCATTTTACTATTTATATCATTTAAGTTATTTAAATTCAATCTTAAAGTTTTATATTTTCTTTAATGTAGCAAACCATCCTGTGCAATTAAATTATTTTGCTTTCTATTAAATTTTGCTGTATAGAACATTTTTAATTTGTTAATTCTGTAATTTTCCCATTTTCCCAGTACTTTTAAGTTGATACTCTACACCATACAAATTATACAAACGAACACAATGTCAAAAAATTGAGCAGAATACATGTGTGCACCGCATAGTGTTTAGACAAACCTTACATCTGTCCCTCTAATTCTCTCCCGGATGTAGTATTCTCTGTGTGTACAGTCAGCATGCTGTCCAGAATCTTGTTTCTGTCACATTGTGACTTGGTCCTCTTTGACCTAATATTCACTAGAGTAATCCTCCCTCTGACCTCCCTGACCTCTAGTACCTTTTATCTGCTCTCAACTTCTGTGAGGGTGACAGTTTTGGGTTCTAAATATGAGTGAGATCATGTACAGTGATATAAAATAGATCACAGAAAAATGATCAGTCTGTCTGAATACCATAGCAAATATACCAGTAAGGAATCAGGAAATCAACCCTATTCATAATGGTCTCAAAAATATACCTGCAATACATCCCACCACGGAAGTGAAATGCCTCTGAAATTAGTCCTCCCACTCCATTTCGTGGGTTTTTCTCCTCTTTCTTCTCCTCCTCCTTTCCATCCTTCTTCTCTGTCATAGTGCTTCTAGTTGTGCACAGGGGCATCTCCTGGAACCTTAGATAACCTCTCTTAGGGGCCCCACTCCTGAGAACAACTGATTCTCTCTCTCGGCAACCACCGGTTGCCATAGTTCCTCAGCTAGAAGTGAAGTTTCCTGTGTTTTCCAAGCTGGGACGTTGTCTGGCTTGGTCTTGTTCATTCAGTCACAGTCACTCTCAGTTCATCTGTGCAGCTACTGCGCTGGTCCAAGAACACTGCTTTGCTGTAGTCATGCATGGCTGCTGGATCTTGCAGTCCTTCTGCTCCCTCTTCTGCAATGATCCTCGGGGCCAGGAAGTCAGTCCTTTATTTTCTGCTCCATGACCACTTGTGGTTCTCTGTGTTCAATGCCATCTGCTGTAGGAGGCGCCTGTGGTAAGGGGTAGTAATCCCGCAGTAACACTCTCTTAGACATGTAGCTGTAATCTGAAATCAGGTGTGGTGACACTACCAATACAGCGCTGCCTTTATTCTTTGGTATCTTCATGGGAGAAATAAAATTTGGTATCTTCATGGGAGAAATAAAATTTGGTAACTTCTGGGAGAAATAAAATTTCTATTTTTATTTGGATTGTGTGGTGGTTTAGATAAGAATGGCCCCATAGACTCATGTGTTTGAATGAGGAGTGGCCGTATTAGGAGGTGCAGCCTTGCTGGAGTAGGTGTAGCCTTCTTGTTGGAAGTGTGTCACTGTGGGTTGGGCTTTGAGGTCTTATATGCTAAGGCTAGGTCTAGTGTGGTAGACTCCTTCTGCTGCCTCTGGAACAATGTGTAGAACTCTTGCTCATTCCCTAGTAGCGTGTCTGCCTGCATGCTGCCATGTTTCCCACCAGGAGGATAATGGACTACACCTCTGAAACGTTAAGCCACCCCCAATTAAATGTTTTCCTTTATAAGAGTTGGTGTGGTCATGCTGTCTCTTCACAGCAATAGAAACCCCAACTAAGACAGACTGCATTGAATATGAAGATCCCTTGGACATACAGAAACTTTCATAACAACATTACTGTATTTAATCAACATAGATCTGTCCCACTGAAATTAGTAGCTAATGTTGTTGCTACTGCTGCCACACTTGGATGATTCACCAGTTCTGTCCTTCAGCTTTCATTTCCAAAGACATCATATCTTTTGGTTCATTGCCACAGAACAACATCAGCATTTTCCTTCTAGGAGAGTAGAAAAGGGAAAGAAAGCAGATCCAGAGACTTCCACCATCAAATGAACATCTTAAAGACAGAAGAGTTAATGGAAAAGTACAGACAGTTGAAGCACTGAAAGCCTCTGCTGTCTCTTAAAATAGTCTAAGCATCTCTGTAATGAGACACATTGAAACTGAAGATCAATCACGAAAATCAATACTCAATAAGGAATTGATGGCTTACAATTACTTTATATAGGGATCAGTGTCCTAGACCAACACTGAAAGTGGCCGTATATATAAACATACGCATTACACATGATGCACTGTTTAACAGCAACACATACTATATATAATATTACACATACGTGTGCACACAGCTTTCTTTCTGATACACTCCCAGTACCTCCCTGTTTTCCAGACCCCATTATTCAGCCTCATAGCCCTGGTTTCCTCCTCCCTGATGTGGAAAGCCCCAGAGTGTGCTCCTCATTCTCTCCTCATTAACTAACCCTGTTCGGTGTATAACTTATATCTATTACGTCTGGATTTCCGGTGATTATTTTTTTCCTGAAAATGCATAACCACAAGTGAAACCAAAAACGAAACAACTCGAGGTTTGTAAAAAGTTCTCTTGTGAGAGAATTTTCTCACATTTTTGGAACTGAGGGTGTTCTTCTAATGACCTAATGATGTCTATGGCTAAATGAGAGAGGGGGGAGGAAGAAATGGGGAAAGGAAACTGAGCAATGCTGGCATACAGAGATAACGATCGCCCACTTTTGGCAATTGCCATCAAAGAACTAACAGCTTCACTCTGGCATGTTTTCCGCAGATTTCTGCTTCCTAGTAGAGCTTTCTCCTCAGATCAAATGGGCTTTTCCTCAGAAGAACAGACATCTGTTTAGAAGATTCGATTCCCTCTACTTCTTATCTGAGGGAGGGAGCATGCTCCCAGGTTCACACTGGTCATGTCTTCTGGACAAAGCACAGCTCAACATGCACAAATAGTTGCTTAGAGATTTTTTTTCCCTCTAACCTACTGTAAAGGCAGTTCTCTGGAGGAAGAAGTTCTCCGGAGAAGTAGCTCCACGTCTGACCTCACATTGCTTTGAGCAATAAGTAAAGTATTTGGAATGAGGCTGAGCAAACCATGCTCCAGCCAGAAAGGCTGCAGCATAGTGTCAACCCATAGAAGAGCTCCTTCACCTGCTCTTCTGCCTACTGAGACGGGCAACAATGGGCTTGGTAAATGCACTGACCTATGACTGTCTTGACACGTGACTTCAAAAGTTCAGGTTGCCTCTTCCACAATAGAACACACCAATTGGGGAAACACGAATCCGTGTTCTACGCCATGGTCACTCACAATTAAGAGTTTAATTGGGGTGGAATAAACTAATTCTTATTCCTCCTGGAACAAGATCTGTGTTTTTCAGGGGCACAGCTCAACAGCCCAGAGCATCTTGACCCAGCAGTCCCTTTGCAGGACACATGGAGGGAGAAAGACAATTCCCATCTGAAGGTACAGTTGCCAAGGAAATCTTATAGGGTCATCAATTCCTTCTTAAGAGTAACTTGTCAGTTGAAAATTCCTCCCTGCTGACGGGTCCTCCTCTTGACGCCATGGCCAGGAGGAAGTTGTCACCTTCACTTTGGATGAGGCACATGCTCAAATGAGTACTGTCCTGCTGGAGTCCTCAGAGGGAGCACAGGAATAGCCAAGGGACTTTTTGACATTAAAGGGACAGGCAGGGTGGAATGTGTATTGGGGATAATTGAGCGACACCAAGGCGAGCTGCAGAGTTTGAAATTAGAGAAGACTCTGGCAGGGAGTATGGTTATTGGAAGAACTGGGCTGTGTGATTGTGCCTCATCTCTTAGAAACAACTCTCTATCTCCATTCCTTGGTGCTTCTTTTAAGGTCATTTAAAGTAATTTTCATCATCTTTATGCTTATGTAATGGAATAAAATGTTAGTAAGCAGCCCCATTCTATAACCTTGCCATGAACATATGTATAGCTCTTTAGTTTTTCACATCTTAGATAGCTTTTTTTTTTTTTATTAACAGAATTGGGGAACCTAGAGGCAGGGCGGAAGGACTGAGACGGGACATGTTGTGAGCTACGAGACTGCTAAGCTATCTCTCCAGCATACCTATCTGGACTCTATTCAACCTTCTCTGAGTCTGTGTAGCATATGAGAGTGGCCCTGGGAGGCAGGGAACATCACACTGTCCCCCATGAAGAGACAGCCCGGGATGGCAATACCATGCAAACTGGAGACAGCCAAGTCTGTCAGGCTTCCGGAGTGAGAGTGTGAACTCTATGGCAGTCCTCCGGGTCTGCTGATTCCCCAGTTGCAGGGACCAGCACCCAGTGATGTAGAGCAAGACATGGAAACACAGTAACAAAGGGAGATAGATGGTTTGCTCCAGCGATCTGGCCAGTAGCCTTGCCAAATCAGTGAGTGTGGAGGTAGAAAAATGCAGGCCCATTTCCACCTTGTGTGCTGGTCAGAGAGTTTGGAGACTGACAGGCATAATTGCACCTCCTAACTCAGGAGGTGGTTGCCTGGCTCTTTTGAAATTAAGATAGTTCAGTGCCATCCTGATGGGTGGTCAGGATAGGCAAATGAACTTCTACTCCATCTATTGTAACTATGAGGTCACTTACAGAAGGGTGGTCTTCATCATAAGTGACTTAGAGCACCTTAGCTACCTAGATAGCTGAATGCTAAGGATTTGAGTCTCAGAGTAATAAGGTCATTGATTGTGTGAGTTATCCTTTGTATCATGTTAATAAAATTTTTTGTTACCTTCTCCCCCAGTTTAACGTGGATATAAAAGCTGTGGAAAAATAAACACATGTGATTTTAGGGTTTCATAATCCCTGGAATATCTTCCCAGTACTGTC